AAAATTTTAGGGGGGAAGGGCTAATCGAGTTTCTTCCGTCAACACAAAGGAAAACGGTAAAAAGAGCATCTAAATCTTCAGTTTTGTTTTTTTTTGTTTTTCTGCTGAAGGGGGGGGGGGGCTTCAGTCCCCCTTTGCCCCCCTGGATTCGCCCTTGTTTCAGGGCTGGATAACATTGGTGTAAAACTAACCAACCAATTCGATCCTTTTGCTCTTATGTCACAACGATAATCTGACATGTTATATAATGTTTTTAAATAGCTAAAACTATTACTTACTATATTATTAATTATAGAAATTAATTATATTTCCTTTACGTGTGTTTTTAGTAGATAAGACATTCCTTGGTAGGGTGGTAATGGTAGGGTCTTGACAGATCAAACACCACGGTAGCTGACCTTGAAACCTGTCTTCTGTACAGAATCATCTGATTTGAAGACAACAACTGCCGTTCTCCCCCTGACTTGGAAAATTATGGTTTTGCCGTATAACCCACAATGGCGGCAACCGACCTGATTATCTAGTCGGTCATAGACGGCTAGGTAGTCGTACCTGATGAGAGAGGAGAAATTCTTTTAGTGCTATGAGCGAGCACCTTTAATTTCTGTGCAAGAAAGTTGTCGCAGTTTTCAGAGGCAACCGGTTGCTTACTTCCCCCGGGTCACCGGCAGATACTGGCATGGATGCTGGATGGACTGAAAGCAGTTGACATAATAATAGAGCTAATATAGCTTACCGACATCTTTTTTCAGGTTCCAAGTTCAGGTGATCAAGTGTGATATTGATGGCAGCGTAGTCCTGGGGGAGACTGATGGTCCATTTACAATGAGAGTTTGCAGGATATGCACTTGGGAAATTCGGTGATTGGAATGTACCGACAGAATTGTTCAGAACACCTCCACAGACTGGAAAAGGATGAGCCATTTTTAGTAAAAGCAAATTATTTATATATTAGAAATTGTACTGGGGGCAAGAGGGGCCTCTCCAGTTCCAAAGTATAGCGCGAAGCTGGACCTACGACAAAGAAGCCCCGGGGCGGCGAGCGAGCCAGATAAACCCCAAAGTATTCAACAAAGAGTAAGAAAACGAATATTTCATTCATTATTATTAAACGACAGAGTTCAGCTTACCAATCGTTTTCTGTGTAATAATAACACTGGCTCCCTCGGTTGTCATAGAAACACTGCCAATGTTTCTCTTAACTGTGTTTTAAAAAATGCAAGAAAATCACTTCATCAACATGAGTTTCTAAATATTCATGAAAGTACTTTTTTAATTCAAGATTCAATTCAAGAGAGTTGGAAAAATTCGGCTTTTAAAAGAATCCCTGCAAAACGAAACCAGAGGAGGTCTGGGGGCAAATGTATTAACATATAAAGGTTTTGCACCATCACGTGACAACAGCCATGTTGGATGGTAGGAACAATACGATCGTTTTACGTAAGAAAGAATTTAATAGATGACTTGCACTAACAGGTCACATGACCCCATCTCCCTTAAAACGAGCAAATGAGTCAAAATGAACTCCAGAAATGAAAAGAGCTCCTCAAATTTAAGAAGAGGGCGAAGTTCAACTCGATGTTTGGTAAAGAATCACAAGTCGTACGATGCTTTACCTGGCTTTTGCGTTTCATTTCGGCATTTAATGCTCTTTACATGAACCAAATGCGTCTCGTCTTTGTTTCCATCTGTCCTAGAAACGTCACACTTGTAAGTCATATTCCCCTCCTCTCTTCCCTTCCTCACCAACAAAGCCCCGTTACTATGGATACTAAATCCATCGTTCGCATCTGTTGTCACGTCGTCATACAAAGCTGCAACTTTTGAAAACGAAGAGCCTTGCTTCCCGTCACTCTCCTTCTTCCATGTAACTTGTTTTAGTTTTCTCGGGTTTGTTCTGTGCTTTGCGTCACAATCGAGAACAACGTCTTCTTCTATGCAGACTTCACGTTTCGTGACGGTGGTGTGACCTGAAAGATTTTAAATGATATTTAATCTTAAAGGAAGTTCTAATTATGCATAAAACGTGGGAGTCACTTGGGAAACCCCTATCAATGAAACATAAGCCTTTCGATTCAAAGGTGATTCCTTCGTCGAAACACAGGTAAAACATGTTATTCGATTATTTTACAGTGGGCATACGTTACTTTACCCCCGTTTCTTTGAATAATCTTTCTTTGTTTCTCGGTAATCATCAAATTGTTTTATGGAAATGAGAAGGGGAAAAACGAGGTCGGAAAAGAAAAGAAAAAAGACGCGTAAAAATGGGAAGGGAAACCTTTCTAAAGTAAATAAAAGTTAAGAAATTGAAACGATATGTAATCAGTTCGAAAATAACATAAGAAAGGTCATAAATTCAATAAATAAATAAATGAGAGTGGCTGGTTTTTTGGATGGATGGATGGGATGGGATGGAAAGATATATGAATGGAATGAGGGTGTATTTATCAATAAGAGAAGAAAAAATTACAATAGATTAAATAAAAAGGTGATGGGTTAGATCTAGATCAAGACAAAATCTTACCACAAGCAACATTCAGTTCGATCAGATGAGCTTCTCTGTCTCCTCTCTGCATCACGATACACTGATACAGAGTCTCGTCATCGTGATGAAGTGACCTGATTTCTAGCGACCCATTTGAGTGTAGGATGAATCTCCCATCCAAGTTACTATTCACGGGAAAAACCCTTGCTTTTCCACTTTTAACTATTGCAATTTTTGACCATCTCCCTGTCAAGAGTTCCTGATAGCGCCATTTCAAGACCATGGAAGGATCTTTGTATAAAGGACAGTCGAGGAGAGCTTTGCTCTTGTAACATTCATTCTGTTTGACATCTACTGCACTAAGAGCTCCTTATAAATATACGAGGAAAAAACGTATTAAAGATTATTAAGGTTTTTCGCGGTTATAACTGTACTGAAGTTTCAAAATAATATCAACGACAGTATAGTGTTTACGATGTTTGCTGGAATCTCAGTTATAAGTTGATTTCAATAGCATAACACACGTACTTCTGACATCAAGTAAAATATCAAATTGCCCTTCACTTAAATTTTAGATACGATTACATATGATTGATTTGACTACTGAATTACCTTTGATGTCGATGAACTGCAAATAAACCAATATTGGAAGAACTATTGCAATGTTAAAGCAATGCATTTTGAGTTAACTGTTGAGCAATGTGAAGCGAAAACCGTGTCTTTTATCTTAGGCTTTGCTTGATTTTAAATTCCCCGGAGTAAGTACTGTCAGTGATTGGTTGATGTCTGTCAGTATCTCTGACTAGTGAAAGCACTTGYCATACTTATATAGACAAAGCTGATACATAAGACTGTCAAATATTTTAAATAGATATTACGTGATCGTGTAAGGCATAAAAGATTGATTATATACCCTCAGGGGAAACCCCTGTTCGTCTGACGCTTCACTGAAAGACAGACAGAGTCTACATGTTTCCGCTAAATGCAAAGGAAGTGAGCACGCGTCACGAGTATTGAACAAATAAGAAAAGCCGCAACAATGTTACGTATTATTGATACTGRAAGTAGTATAGGGCGGCTTATAGCACACTACCACAGCGAGCCCAAGGACAGGAAAATGGTGGGCGTACGAAATTATGGGTTATAAAATAACGCATAAAAATTTGATTTATTGGAAAAACACTTTTTTTTAATTAACAAATAAATATTAGAATCTTTCTGAGAAATCACGCAGTCAATTCAACCGCTCATGATAAAAATTTTCTTTAATTAAATGTATTTGAACCCCGCTTTAAGGATACCTTTAATACGAACACCACCCTGTTATTTACACGGATACTTGTTTCTGTGCACGCAGATGATATATAATACATCTACTCTAACAGAACCCCCGTAAAATAGATATTCTCCGTACAAAAGCTTTAATTTTTCCCTGGTTATATAGAGGACTTGCTATTGATGAACAATTACAAAATAGAATAACATTTACATTTTTTGTTGCATTTTTTTACAGCGATTCTTTGGTGCGCCTCGGCGTCTGCATAAGAGGATTCGTCCTATATTCGTTATTTGAATATTCATGGCACTGCTTAGCTTTCCTAGAATTATGTCTTGATTATGTCTCAACCTTCCTGTATTCAAAAAGGGCCGTCGTTTAACGATCATTTGAAGCTAAGATTTAAAATCAGCGCCAGTATTTTTATAATATAACTTCATTTATTTTACAAGATATCCTTACAATGATTCATATATAATTGCAATACAATAGAGTAACAGCACCAAAGTTATTTAGAATATATTATGGAAACAAGGACAAAAAGATTATTTTAATATAAATCAGCAAAAGTGATTGGGCTCTTGGTTCTTGGATTAAAGATGTCATTGTGCTTAAAGACCGTTAAGACTTGGACCTGCAACGACGGTGCTTTTCCTAAGAGAATCATAACTTAAATTAGAGCAAGTCTAACCATCAAACTTACCCTACCGAGCTGAAAGAGGATACATTTAGAACAATTCAGAACAGGTGAAAGCGAGACTGATAGTGAGTCACACTTTTGTTTCGTGTCAAATTTGAAATGTTGCGTGACTATGATGGGAAATGAAGTCACTCGTTAGAAGAGCTAACGCATTCAGAAAAGGGGGAAGGGGAGGGTGACAAGTGTGTCGTACGCACGACGACTTCTTGTAGAGAGATATAAATGTTCTTTGTAAAAATCCCTCGCAAATCCACGATTAGAAAATATGCTGTGAAAGTGAACTAAGTGACCAATAAGATCAGGACGTTTGGACGTTTGTCGTGTATTTTCTGGTAAATTGATCAGTTATGTGTGCTCTGTTCTGGCCTGTTTAGCCGCTAACCTGCCTACTAACCGCAACGGGTAGACCAAGGGAAGGTTCCCCTGGGGCTCTTCCTTCCCGCCTTTATTCCACACTCACTCCACTTCCCACTAAAATCTATTTAAATTCATTCACACAATTCATCCATTTAGGGAAACCGAATCGAATAATCTTAAAACCACCTTGTGGCAAGGGAGAGATAATGTGGGGAATCTAATATATGAAGACGTAAAAGTCAATGATTGCGCTTTCTACACGTGGGGTGCTCCCCACCTCTACCAACTACTTAAAACCCTCCAATAGCGCCCGAAGGCAAAGTTTCGTCCTTTGAACACTCAGCAGTATCTCTTAGTCTCATATTTCTCGTTTTGGTATTTTATACCATGAGTGTTGTTTTTGGTCAATGGGCCTGTACCTCATTACTAGCTCCTACACCCACTAGATCCAATAGCGCCCGAAGGCAAAGTTTCATCTTTTGAACACTAAGTATCCCTTAGTCTCATATTTCTCGGTGTGGTATTTTATACCATGAGTATTGTTTTTGGTCAGTGTTGGTCTGTACCTCATTACTAGCTCCTACACTCATTCATTTAAAGGTATGTAATACTTTCTGATTTTCTCGGTTAAAATATGTCATTCACTTTATGAAAACCTCATTTCTTTCTTTACTGTTTGAGCCTTTAAAGATAGATTAATATCAAAGAAAGACCGAGATCGCTAAAGGTGCCTGCTCCTTTCACTCGAATGAAATTTCGCAATACAAAGTATGCATGTGTATACTATAAAGAGGAAGTCGCCATAACAAAAAACACGAAGACTTTGGCACTTGGCCACCTGGAACACGTGACAGATGGGAACACAAGTTTTATTCCGATGACAGCCATCACAATCCGTGCCAAAATTGTTTAAGGTAAAGTTGATGCTCGTCGACTGCAAAACGCAAGAGAAAAGTGTATGTTAACATATTGAAAGGGGCAAGAAACTAATTGTTTAATCGATTTCAAATATATTCATAAACTTATGACCAATATTGTAAGTTACTGGACAAAGATTTGTTTACAAGTAAACACAAAAATCTTCGTTGTTTATTCGTTGCATATCCGTCTTCCAGTCGGAAATAACACGAACACTTCCGTTGGATGTTCGGAAGTAAACTTAAGGGAACCACAAATTGGGCAAACAAGCGCTGGTTGTCTGTAAAACAGGGGTTTTCCCAACGATTCAGCCATTACAAAGCTATTACAGCTTATTTTTAACCACACGAGCTTGGGTGGCCTATAAATAAGATCAACTGGTCTACATCAAGGCATATCTTAAACCAGACGAACTCAGAATCATATTTGAAGTCCAAAGACACCTTTGAGCGAGAGAGAACCCCAACGAGCAATATCGAAGAAAGCCTCATTGATTCAGTCCACATCTTATACCAGAGATCAAAATGCATCATTCTATCGTAATGCTTATGATACAGACGTTGGCTTATCTGCTTGTTGTAAATGGTGAGTTATACTAATCCTAACTCAGATCGATTTGTTGATTATGAAGTTTAGCGAGTAATGGATACCAGTTTAGTTGACGACCTTTGCAATGAAATACTGAACGCAGACAGCCGTAAATTATAATCACATGGAGCACTCATGGAGTACTTTATTATTAAAAACACGTGCTTTTTATTGGAAATTATTTTGCTTTATTAGTTTTTCTCTCGAAATTTCTTACTTCCCGTTAATTTTGCATTCATTTTTCCATCTATCTCTCTACTGTTCTCTACTTTGCTTTCGTTCTTTCTGTTATTCTCTTTCTTCATTTCTTTGGTTCTTCTTATTTTTCTTTTTTTCTTTTCTTCCTCCTTTACTCTTTTCTATCTTATACGTCTCATATTTTCTTTGATGCATTTTTTTTTGTATTTTATATATGCTATTGACATATTTTATCATAAACTTGTTGATATCCTTCCCAAGCTTTGTTTGTTATTACTGAAGGGCACCGACGCTTCATCAATTTCGTTTGTCTATTTATATACTTCAAAAGTTTGAGCCTGTGACTTTTTCTTACTACCTAGGCGATGAAAATGGAACTCGCTTGAAGGGCTGCCACAACGCAAATATCACCCTGAACTGCACTCATTACTTGCCGTCTAGACCAGGTTTTCCTGTAATGAGTCTCAAATGGTATCTAAAGAACGGACCTGAAAAATATGAGCTTGCCACTATTTATAAAAGTGGAAGGCAAAAACTACACAATGCCAAGCCCGATTTGATGAACAGACTGACCTTACATAAAAATGGGTTGCTGGAAATTTCCTCACTTCATCCCGATGACGAGGCAGTGTACGAATGCAGAGTAAGGGGCTACAAAATATTAAGAAGTTACCAAATAGATCTCAGCGTTGCTTGTGGTAAGTATTAAAATATAATCGAAATAAGATTAAATTATTGGTGTGCTTATATTTTCCTTATTGAATCGAAAGCCGCTAAAATCCTAATACTTAGGATAATAATAATGCTGATATTGCGCATGTTAAGCAGGGAGATGCTCACAGGCATCTTAGGAGAACAAAACTGTTTATTTTTGGATTTGTTTGTTTTTTAACTAAAAAGGCTCCATCAAATGGATGGATGCCAAGTTCTTACAGTCCAAATTAAAAAGAAATTGTTTTAAATTTAGGTGAAGTGACGCAAATTGAACGTAAGGTTTGTGTAGAAGAAGATGTTGCCCTGGAGTGCGACGCCAAGGACAGAACAAACCCAAGACTACTGAAGAAAATCTCCTGGAAAAAAGAGAAAATTTTAGAAAATGGTTCATCATATTCAAAGGTTAGAGAAGAGGATGGTGTCATGGTCCATAGCAATGATTCCATGATTCTACTGAAAGGAAGAGCCGAGGGCAACCAAACTTTCAAATGTCATGTCACTAAGATTGATAGAAGCAGGCCAGATGCGCATATCATTAAAGTGACCAGCGTCAAGTGTTACGAGGACACACCACAAACTAGTGCAGGTAAAAACAGATAAAGAAAAAAATTGCGATGTAAATAATTTGAAGGTAGCACAGAGAAGACCCAAAAAAGTTTCTCAGTTTTGACCCGAAAAAAGTCGGTTCCTTGTTCCACAATCTCTCTTTCATTCTACAATCCGCGAGACACACAGGTAGCTGAAACTGCTGCAAAAATCCACTTCTAAATTCCAATTGGAATCCAGTGGAAGAAAAGCCACTCTGTGGGATCCACTGTTAATCCCATTACTTCTTTAAATTTTTATTTCACATAGTGCAGGGTCCTTCTCACTCAATCGTTTAACTGAGCTCTCCTGAAACTTCCTCGCTTTACTCTGGGATTTCACACACTAAAGACAAGTGTTCTAGTCGACCTATGAGACCATATATTGCCTTTACCATTTTTTTTCGCGACTTGATTTCAATTGCAAAACCAAATTTTCTTGACCGTATTCGCTACCGTAAAAATCACACAAGGTCATGTTGCCATGACTACAGCTTCTCCAACCAAAGTTAAACAGCTTCTTCAAAATGGTCTCTCTCTCTTAAATTATTCCTTTTTTCGGTTCTTGTTTTAATTTTGTTACTTGCCCCTAGTTGGTAACCTTCTCATTGACTAATAAAATAAAATCGCTTCTTTTCAACGCAGTCTGTGGAGGTGTTCTGAACAATCCTGTCGGTACATTCCAATCACCGAATTTCCCAAGTGCATATCCTGCAAACTCTCATTGTAAATGGACCATCAGTCTTCCCCAGGACTACGCTGCCATCGATATCACATTTAATCACGTGAACATTGAACATGAAGAAAACTGTCAGTAAGTATTTTACGTTTTGACCATCGCTTAATTCCTTTATTGTGCATGCCTTATCCTGCGACCACTCATGCTTTTACAGATCACTGATTCCTTAATTGTGAATTTCTTTTAAAACAGACATGACTACATTGCGATCTATGACGAGCTTGGAAACCAGTTCGGATGCCGAATTTGTGGGACTCGCAACTTACCCCGTAAAATCCAAGTGAAAGGGAGAGTAGCAGTTGTTTCATTTCATTCTGACAGCTCCGTCAACAAATCTGGATTTAAGATCACGTACAAGGCTGCACGGACTGCCGAGAAGTCAGTCTTATAGTGAAATCTTTGATAATGGTAATCTTAAGTAATGCATTTGCAGCTTAGACCTGAATCGCTTTTTAGTCATTATTAATATATTATAGTATCGCGATTCACTAAATAGTCTCTTATAGTTTTGAGACGACAATTAAGGTTTCTGATTGGCTAACGCACGACGAAAAGGAAAGCTTGAGCGCGCGCGTCAAATTTTTACGCTTTTTGTTTGCGCCATAACGCATGCTCGTAAGGAGAATTTCGCATTTAATCAAAGTAATTCGGTCAGTTTTCCCTCCTTTTTTGTGTGTTAAATTCTTTAGAATTGCGATACAAAACTAATCACGATTTTGAGACGACAATACCATGAAATATTGACGGCGTTGGAAGAAAATATATTCGGTATTGGGCTTCGCTTCGCTACTCCGCCCAATACCGGATATATTTTCTCCCAACTAGTCGTCAATATTTCGTGGTATTGTCATCTCTAAATCGTAATTAGTTTATAGAAATAAGAATACCATTGATATTCTTGAGCAAGAAAAAGGGCCATTCTGATCCACAGCGCCTGCTATCACCATGGTCAGCAGCATGAACCGTTCCTGTCGCGATGATTGGCACCATCAGTAGAATTTAAAACTAGTCTAGTCCTGTTAAACCGAGACATTGACCCTTTTCTTTATTAGAAAATTTAGTGAGAGAGTCTTATAGATTATACTCTATATTTGATACAATTAATACAAGCCATGTAGTACGTAATTTGCCATGCAAATTTTTCTCATGTCCTTGAGTCGGTAAACTAGATTTATAGGAGACATCAACGATTTCTAAGAAATTACTAAATAAAGTATATTAACAGAAGAGAATGTGTATTCAATCTGTCTCAAAACATATTTATACTATAATTAAAAAGGTAGTTTTTTAAACTTAGCCAAACTATTGTTATTGAATTCCCAAACGCCCTGTCCGCAATATTGGAAGAGTCTTACACAGGTAGCCCACCAAGAACATGTCAAAACTTCGGAAGCAATCAAATATTACTTTACTCTTTCCTTTAGCCAATTTTTTTTGAAGAAAAACTAGACATTGAAAATATGATTTTTAGAAATATTCGTGTTTTAAACCAATTCTCTGATATGAATTGAATAACGCCAATCAGCGTCTGGGAGATTAATTCAGTTGTAGGCCTGGCCTTGTCCTAGACTCCCCCCCCCCAAATTTCGATATTAGCATATTAAACTCGCGGTCGAACATCAGGAGACAGTATCATAAAGCAAACTACTAGAAAAAAATCGTTAGAAATATACGAAACGAACGTTGTCGTTATTATAAGATGCGATACAAGATAAGAGCGTGATGTGCAGAATGACTATAGGCACAAACATGTAGTTCTGGATTTTCCGTTGTCTGTGACCAGGTAGACCAACTGGCATCCGGTTTCGAACAGCCTAGTAGTTTTCCATGTGTTGTAGAGTGTAGCACTTGATGAAACGGAAGCTTTCCAACTGAGAGACAGTACTTAGGGTAATATTGATTTTTGCCCACCTGGACATGACGCAAGTCGCTTCCGTTTTAATTCGTAAAGTTATTGGTATGACTTCCATGAGTCAATGTGTGATCTATGTCACGCGGCACAGGAACTATCAAACCAGAGGAAGGAAAAACCGGGAAGATTGGATCAAGGAGAACAAAGAGGTGGAAAAGACATTAAGTAGTCACGCAAGGATATGAAGTACTTGACATGGTATACCGAATATAGTGATATATGTACCGACAGGAGAAAAGGCTAGTGGCAAAAAATATCGACAAAAATAATTGAAAGAAAAATTGTTATTCCATTAGTTATTCCACATGAAGAATGATGGTCGCGCGCGAGGGGGACAAAAGGTACAAAAATGGCGTGACACTGGAATTAGGAATATTCTAAATATAGATAAGTATGACATAAATTGGTCACCCAAATTGGACCTTTAAACTAGAGTCGTGCAAGAAATGGGGAAAGCGAGGTGTGTCACAATCTCATTCACAGGTCCTTCTCTTCTCGCTTGAAAATGGCGGCGCTTGAAAAAAAGCGAGAAGAGAAGGCCCTGGGAATGAGGTTGGATGTGTCACTCTAGTTCCGCTAATGTGGGGTCCATAGTGATTTATTTTCATTGGTCTCACTGTACTCATGTATTGAGTATGAGAATAGACCTGGCGGAGCTCTCAAAAGGACCAAAAAAGCGCAAGGGTGTGGAGGGTGGGAAGGATGGGGTTTGGGGAAGGCAAAACATGGAATGACAGAAATGACAAAAAAATTGTTCTACACAATAACACTCATAATAAGCATTAGCATAATAAAACTGTGAATACACGTATAGCACGTGAGGACATATTAACACCTGAGTCGACGTAAAACTAAAAAGCAGAGCACGTTTTGCATAAATTTAACTAGCATGGCGATAAGGTGAAAATAGAAAATAAAACGCTTGGAGAAAAAATTATAAGCGAGTGCGAACAATTAAAACAGTGATACAAACAATACTTCAGTACTTGAGTACGCGAATGTTATGAAAGTAAAATCCTCAATAGAATTTAAAGCAACCGGCCAAAGAAACGAGCAAGACAAACGGCGAAGTATATTTTATGTTTAAAACATAAAATGGTAATAAAAGCAGTTAACGACAATGAGCTTTACATAGGAATAAAAACTTCATACCTTCGAATTCATACTTGTTGCATGTTCAGTCTAAGATTTGGTAGAGCCAAAGAGAGAAGACACACGTCCAACCAGTAGCAGGCTTGAAGTGGAATGACTTATATGCAAATTAATTCTCACGCATGCATTTATACCTGTGAGACCGCTGAAAATAAAGGTTTGATTGTGCTAAGGAAAAGAGGTTATAATAATAATAATAGTAATAATAATAATAATAATATATGTCTTTATTTCTCTTTATTTTTTATTAGGCGTATTCATTTGTCTCACGATCGTGGCAGTTGGGAGGAACGCGACATTTCGAATGCTACTGCTAGTCTTTATCATTCGATGGTGTTGACTAGAAGGTGGTCTTTCTATAGAGGCTTTGAACCATCAAGTGATGGCAGCCATGACAGGAGGCAGGAATAACTGAATCTGGTCTAATCTGATTTACATGAGAAAGCATTTAGCAGTTCCCCAAGGGAGAACGATTTTATTGTTGTACCTCCTATCATAGCTGCCATCACTTGATGGTGCAAAGCCTCCATATACCGTCAGTCTGGTTCCCTTGAGGATCGCGCAGGGCTGTGATATTTTTTCTTTTTTGAATTTTTCTTTAAATTGAGAATAAGCATACTACTTTTTAACTCAAATGACTTTATTATGATTTTTAATATTTATTTTCTTATATGCGGCAGATGGACTACAGTTTCACTATGGCACGACCGCTATATAAATCCGGTTTTATTGCCTAGGCATATGGCAAATAAATACACGTATAAATATTTACGTTTACATTTTTTTTTTGCATAGCAAAAACATTATGCAGGCTTTTAGACAAATTTAAATATTCGTTCGAATTTTTTTAGTTTGCATTCTTCTAAGAAGTTTCCTTTACGTCTTTTTTGAATTTGAGCTCCCATTGTCTTATGGGTCAAATTTCCCGGCATTCAGTGCACCGTTGTAGCTGGCTTGGAACCCCGTTTTCTGGACAGAACCGTTAGATCTGAATACGATTACTGCAACTCTCCCCCTAACTTGGACTCGTAGTGGAGAAATATGATTCCCGCAAACACGACATCCGACTTGGATAGCAAGGTCATCATAGACTGCAATGTTGTCATTTCTAGAGAAGAGATAGAAATATCATATATCAAATTTTTGGAATCAATGGATCAATCAATCCCTCTTATTCTAGTAGATATCGTCCAGGAATTTATAAGAAACTTATTTGATTTGGCGTTCTTTTTTGTTTATTGCTCATAATTGAAGATGTAAGAAGCAAATGTACTATTTGTACTCACAAACAGTCGACTTTGTCTTCCAAGTTGACCTGGTTGAGAGTAAGATTGATGGCAGCGTAGTACGGGGGAAGACTGATGGTCCATTTACAATGAGAGTTTGCAGGATATGCACTTGGGAAATTTGGTGATTGGAATGTACCGACAGGATTGTTCAGAACACCTCCACAGACTGAAAGTAAATAAAAATAATAATAAAATGAAATGCATTCGGTACGTTATCAAAAAGAAAAAAAAACAAAAAACAAAACAAYCAACAACAACAACAAAATAACAACAGAAGAACAAATAACGACGTACGACTTGGGTTTATACCTTGAGATTTAGGAATTCCGGTCGCCATAGCAACATTGATTCCTCTATTTGGATTGACTGTCGTCAGAGCAACACGACCCGTTGTTGTTTTTATTGTACCTAGAAAATACCCAAAAATAACACGTTATCACAAGTCATCACAACGAAAGGAAAATCTATGGTCACCATGTTAGATGATATAAAACTATCCAACTATCTTTATCGTTAAACCTATCCAAAATGGCGGATGTGATGTGTTGGGTGCACGCTAGAAATTGCAAGCTCAAATGCAAATACAAAAACGTTATTCCTCTTGCCTTTTAATTGTTTTTCTCTTTGGCACTTGACATTCTTCACCACGATAATGTGTCTGTCCAATCGACTTGCAACATCATTCTTAGTGACGTCACACTTGTAGATGACGTCACTTTCATTCCGTCCTGCTGGCAGAAACAAAGACCCGTTGCCATGGAGCTTTAATCCATTACCAACAGTTACATTAGAACCACTGGAAGCTACGAGTAACGACCAGGACACATCGTTCCCTGAGGTGTTCTTCTCGTGCCATTTGACTTGATGCAGCTTTCTCGGGTTTGTTCTGTGCCATGCGTCACAACTGAGAACAACATCTTCTTCTATACAGACTTCGCGTTTGATCACAGTGACTTTGCCTGAACATAAAAAAAATTATGCTCTTACGGAAACTGCGCTGAAAATTAGCTGAATGGCGTTGACATGTACAATTTATGCAGGTCAACGCCATCAATTGTTCAGATTACTTTATTTGAAGCTGATACGTTTGCAGTCTCATATGTTTTCAGTGCTAATAGAATGAGTTAAAAATAGAAATAAACTAAACTGTAAACAGGAAACAATTGCCCAACAACAGGAAATAAGATGAACAGAGACAGTAGCTCGTGCAAATAAATCTTAAAAACAAAACCACTTCGAATAATTATGAAGGATTTTGTTGGGCCTCAACGAACAACTTAATTGTCTAGAATAAAGCCCTTCAAAAGCATCTGTAAATTTTTCCTTTATATATTTTTGAAGTCATCTGTATACTCACCACAGCTAACATTAAGGTTAATAACATGCAGTTTTCGAGAACCCTGTCTCACTATACACTGGTACATTGTCTCGTCATCAGGTCGAAGAGAGTGAATTTCCAAGGATCCATTGGGATGAATGGCTGATCTCCCATCCAATGCTGTGTTGGCGGAGTTTAACGTTGTTTGACCATTCCTAATGCTGGCTACTCGTGACCATACGCCGGTGGTTTTGTCCTTAAACCGCCACACTAAATTGCCTGGTTGGCCCAGTGCGTATTGTGGGCAGGTCAGTATGACATCAGAGTTGTGGCAGCCATTTTGATTGTGAGTTGTTACGGTACTCACCGCTCCTGGTAAACCATAAATTAACAAATGAATTAAAACTGAGCTACAAATTAGAGTAGCAATGTTTCAAAAATAGGGACATTTTATAACTATGACTATCGTTACCAGGGGCTCTTCCGTGGGGGTTCCTTCCACACGCACTACCACTACATTCACTGCTAATTTACAACAGACAGCACTCAACCAACGTGACGATTTTTACAAAAGGGAGAAAAACCGGAGAACCCGAAAAACTCCTCCCTCGTGACAAGCGAGAGAACAACACGCATGTACAAATTAAATCTGCAGTTTTCATGAACAATTGTAACTAATAAAAAATAATTAAGGTTTTTAATGGTTAAAATAATAAAAACACGATAACAAAAGCAACAACAAAAACTAATTATGACATCAAAAAGCTTTGCATAGAAATACCTCTGATGATGAAGAAGCAAACCAATGCGTTGATGGTGATGGAAGTACCACACATTCTTGGCTCCCAATGTCTGACTAGTGATACAAGATATGTTTAGTTCTCTTTAGTTCTGCTCTGTATCGTCTTTCAAGGTCGTTTGTACTCAATTGATTGTCCGTAAATTATCTTACCAACTGGTGTGTGATGGTTCTGGCGTACGCGGTACACTGGTATATATATCTGTCAACCATCTGTTAATAATATAAATATCATTTAGGTAACCTTCCTGGATCATGAGTGTGTAACGCATGGTGAAGTCCCTGGACCTATTTTAGCGTTCTAACATCACATCCTTCCAAGCTCGCAGTGCGGTCAACCAATTGTTTCTTGTCAGCATTCACCTTTCTTTCTTTCTTTCTTACGCAAATGAAAAACGGAAAGAATTCTGGTATCACAAAAGATGAGAAGACGTGTTTCCATGACGACGACTAGTCACGTCAGCGGTGATTCCAAAATACTGAGGAGAACAAAGAGACAATCTTAATGTATCCGGCGGCTTGTGAACTTATTTTTGGTATATTAATAGTAAACTTGTCAGGGCTAAGGGATTTTCCTGTTATCATTACGGCATGTTACCATATCTGTCTGGAAGAAACTACTAGCATTGAGCACAGATTAATAAAAATATTTTWAAAATGTAGTTGAAAACTTTTCGTTTTGTCGTTTCTCTATTTATCGTCTGGAAAAGTACCATTTATTGAGGATGAGAGTCCCAGAGTTGCAATGGTAATGCTTTATAAGACTTCAGAAATGCTGAATAATCCGGATAAGTTAATTGGCTGTAGATTAGATGCAGGGCTGAGTCAGCGAAAGCAATTTTTGTTGCATTTCCTTTAATTCTTTTTGTGTGTGGTGCTTCTTTTGTTTGTAAGATTTCTACGATGAGACAATTCTTGTGACCGCCAATGATGTTATGTATTTGAAAGATAGAGGTTTAGGACAAAAGGGGACAGACCCAATCGTACTGAAACCTATTGTTTTAGTCGATTCAGGACTGACATTTTTGGACCTTCTGCAACAATGTGCACTATTAAGAATAATGATTAATTTCACATTGTGCAAAAGGTATGGGGGAAAAACCGTCCTTTTTTCACGAGGGTAGCACTTAATAGCCATTGGCTAACAAACCTGTGGCCCTCATTCCGTGATCGAATTGGAATTTAGGAGTTGATTTTTGCGGAGGGAGGAAGACCGGAGAACCCGGAAAACCCTCGAAGCACAGGAGAGAACCAACAAACAACTCTACTCATATACAACACCGAACCCGGCGGGACTCGAGCTCGGGTCGCATTGATGAGAGGCGAGCGCTCACACCGCTACGCCACCCGTGCTTCCGTGGACTATGGCCCATATGCATGGCTTAAGTTTCGTGAGGTAGTTAGGTTCATGGATAGAAGATAAATGTAATAAGAGAAAAAAATATCCGAACTTCGATAAGGACTGAAGTTCGTTGCTGTTCTACTCGGAACATCAKGACAAGACAAGAAAGTCATGAATTTAATAAAAAAGGGATAAAAGGAACGTGATAAGATGATCGTAGTGATCGCAAACATGAAAATACAATAATGACATTTAGGATTGAGTTAGCAGTTATGTAGAAGTCATGATCACATCTGCGGAACAAAATGTCAGAAAGGTTTACTTAGGACAGCTGTGTCATCACAACTAAACGAATATTAGCAATTAAGTTGAGTGGCGCACAGGTAGAAAGGGAATAAGTGGACCCTTTCACCTTGGACGTAATGTTTACGCATAAAAGACCACGTATTATCAGAATAGATATTCATTTCTTTGTTTAACGATTGCTCACGAGAACGCAGAAAAAACCCCATATATTTTCAAGGGAATGTGAACGTGGTCTGTGACAAGGATAAACAATGCACCCACGTTAACTTAATTTAATTGGTCTCATTGTTATCATGTTTAACCGATCCTCTTTACAATCGTATTAACCAATATGTTATTAGGATTCTAGTTGAGAGTTTGCGTGCTTAAATTTGGATAAATATTTTGAGCTGGGCCGCTCGGTTGTTAGAAGTGCAAGCCACAACTGCATAGCACTGAAAGCAGTCTTTCTTCGGTATTTTCGTTTAATACCTTAATTATTTTTCAGTCGCTTAGAATAGGTTACTAAATGATCTAGAAAAACACGCAAGAACAAGACAGACGATGAAGGCTGGAAGTGGAAGAAGTAGGCACTTATCGTAACAAGTATGGCACGTTTTCCTCTCGTTTCAGCAGAAAAGGGTAAAAATATTTCCCGCCTTAACAACTGCTGTCAAGACCACATCCGACAAGCTATATAATCAAAGTGAAACCATACATTTGTCGTTCAAATGTGCGGAAGTAAATCAGTATTGCCTCCCCGAAAGAGGTTATAACCAAGTCTTTTTGATTAGGTCTACTTTTGCGTGATTCAAAGGATGTCGGCATTCTTTTTATATACTGTATTCACATTCATGAATGTCATGACATTCCCATGTTTTGCTTTTGGCTATCTGGTTGAAACACTGTATTAATTGAACGTTCTACAATCAGATTTTCCCTATGTCTGCTTTCATAAATAAAATAATGATTTCATTCTGAGTTCAGTAAGTTCATTCTGAGCTGATTTAACACGTTCAGAACATCAGCAAGATTTAGTGTTACAGAATGATGTATTTACTCATGAAGATGTGTGCCAAAAAATCTTTTAAAACATCTTCGAAATAATTTTCTTTCTTTCTTTCTCCTTTCTGGTTGTTTCTTATACATCTTTAAATGTCGTAAGATGCATCTCTTCTGATCAGTCTTCAGCAATATATCCATATATATGCAATTTATTTTTGCGTGGCGGCCATATTGGAACCCCCCTTTAAAAAATCCTTGATCTGCGCCAAAGAAAGCTTTCACATTCAAAACAGAATTAACGGTTTATATAACAGTAATTTATTAAATAAGCGTTCAATAAATTATCAATTCCATACTTATATATTATAATTGTAAAATTCCTAATAATATTTTAAGATACTTTATGTATTTTATCATTAAAGTATTTTCGATTTGAGAACATTTTATAGACTTTTATAAATATCTAATTGAAGCAGAATTATTTATAGCCACATTCATATTAAGTGTATAGCAAGAGAATATGAACTAAGAGAAGGAATCCTACCTATTATAGCCTTGTAACCATCATGTGCACAGTTTGATGCTATTTTTAGCTTGGAGATATTTTGAGCGAAGAACCTGATTGGTTGATTTCTTGAGGGTAGGCGGCTTCCAGTCTTGCAGTAAGCAAAGCCTGTGTTTTTGTTGTGACCGTAGCGAAATATGACGCTTTCCGTGTCCTAAAACGAGGCATTAAAGGGAAGCATGATTATCGCGCGGGCATGGTAACGAGTTAAAAATAGCATCAATGATTCTAAAAATGCACATGATGGAACACGGGGATTCCTTCTCTTAGTTCATTTTCTCTTGGTGTATAGCTAATATAAATAACTGACAATTGGCTAATAGCTCTTGGAATGCTAACATTTTAAATAACATCCATATGTATACAACTGCGCATGGGCAAAATATAATGCCTACAATATCTTTGCATAGCAAAAATATAAATTTCAAAATACTACCTAACCTATACGAATACCTTTTTTCTGTTCTGCTTTTACTTTTACTATAAATTCCCTAGCGAACAAAAACTTCTGTCGTGTGGATCATGTTAATAACTTGTATAAATTTGGCGCGTTTTCAATAAGGAAAACGGTACCTATTCCTTTGTTTATGTACATGTAACGTAAGAATTTATATTTGCTCTTCAGAGGGAGAATAGCGATGAGATAGAGCGACCTTTTCTTGTCTTGGGGGTAACTGAAAWAAAAAAAWATGACAGTCATTAGAAGCGGTCCACACATTTCGTTCTGGTAACGTAAAAGGTTTCTCCTTTGTGCAGTGTTCGACCGTTCCCCAAAAAATGCGTTTTACTAAAAATGGCGGAAAATTCAAAAGTTGAAATGCTTATGCGTCTGTACCATATGAATGGTAAATTGCTGTACTCATGACATTTGTGTATATAAACTAATTTATTTCAAAGCTTTATTTTATATTTACCTGGTTGCTGGCACTTGATGTTTTTTAACACAATAATGTGCCTGTCCAATTGACTTGCAACATTTTTGGTGACGTCACATTTGTAACGAAGAACGCCTTCAGCTCTTCCCCCTTTCAGTACCAAAGACCCGTTGCCATGGAATTGCAATCCATTGGCAACCACTGGATTAGAACCCCTGGAAGCTACGAGTAACGACCAGGACACATCGTTCCCCGAGGTGTTCTTCTTGTGCCATTTGACTTCGTCCAGCTTTCTTGGGTTGGTTCTGTGCTTTGCGTCACAGTCGAGAACCACATCTTCTTCTAAACAGATCTGGCGAGTAATAAGCGTGGTGTTGCCTATTTTAAAAGAAGAAGAAGAAAAAAAAAAAAGAAAATCAACTTGGATATTTTTTATCTAGAGGACCAAGAACACCACTTTGGGGTACTCCTTGATCTTAGTTTGTTTTGATTTGTTTAATTAAACATAATAATAATCTTTATCTACATGCCAAATTTTGTCATCAGGTGGACCAAAAAGAAAAACTTGAGGCATTCCATAATTATAATTGTTCTTTTAGGCCAGTTCAAAAATCTTTCTTCTTTCAGTGAGGAACAAAGATAAAAAATTTAAAAAAATAAAATAAAAAAAATAAATAATAATAATAAAAATAAAATAACAAAAACGTTATGAATCTAACAAACGTACCACATGTTACATTAAGGAATACACGGTGCAATTTCCTTGGTCCTTGTGTCACTATACACATGAATTCTGTCTCGTCATCAGGCTTCAGTGTGGCGATCTCTAGTGATCCACTAGGATGGATAGTTAGTCGTCCATCTAGTGGAGTATTAGCGGAGTTCACCCGCATGTTGCCAATTCCAGTAATGCTGGCTACTAGGGACCATTTGCTTGTTGCTTTGTTGTAAAATCGCCACTTCAAGTTTCCTGCTCGGTTCTGCGTGTAATGTGGGCAGGTAAGGGTGACTTGAGAGTTGTAACAACCGCTTTGAGTAGAACTCGAAACAGCACTCACAGCTCCTAAAAATTGAACAGACTTCAATTAAAACCTTTGAACTGATAAAGATATCAGTCAGTGAGCTATTCGTAGGTCAAGTATTTTACTGTACAACCACAAGACGTGGAGTGATGAGCAGTTCTCTGGAAAATAGTTCGGTTTTCTTTAACAGTTTCAACAAACTCATCCAAATTTGACAGTATGAACAAAGCAAGCTGAAAAGCTAAACTTTTAAATTTAACTTCATCCACTTTAAATATGCTGAAGCAAAATCACTTATATTTTTTATGCCCCGACAGAAGAAAAATTTAAAAGAATTTTTTATTCGTGTAAATTTGAATATATTTTTGCAAAAGAAGAAAAGCGCCGGGTTTCAAAAAAATGTAAACAGTATTCACAATACACATGCGCAAATACTAATCCACATTGCGCGTATAACAAAGCATAAAAATTCGAAAATTCGAGAACGCAGAATCCCTTACATTCCTTTATAGCGATAACCTTTGAATTCTTTCAATGTCATTCAGTGACTTGGTTGGTTGCGCAAGTTTATGCTCACTCGTTTTCTTTTAAGTTTACTTCTTATAAAAACCTCGAAAATTATTCTAACCTCGAGTATTTTATCTAAATACTACATACCTCTAATGATGAATAATAGTGCAATCGCTAGTAGAGTAAGAGTAATACTGGAACTATTCATAATGATGTTCAATAAACAGTAATAAATGTAGCAGTGAATGTCTTGAAGTCCTTCTTGGTTCAGCTCTGCAAGAGTGTCTCTTTAGGCAAGAGTGTTATATCTTCTGATAGATGCTCAAGCAGCTCTACAAGTTTAAGTGCGTTGTCAAACTAGCTCGGTGCTCCTCTATTTATTACAAAATCAGTCACCGGTGGTTGCTAAAAATAGGGGTTTAGATAACGTCTTTATGTGGTAACGCAAGGCGGACAGAACAGTGCTTGTAACATGATACTCAATGAACATCATATCCTTCTTAGCGGGGTAAAACAGTACATCAAGTTGTGAAATGCGGAACACTGTTATCTGGAAGGTGTATCGTTTCCAGGTCAAAGGTGAAGAAAAACGCAAGAAGTGGAAGTAAAACGATCAGACTAACCACACACGTGCTCAAACCTATTCCTTATACTATAGTATTATTTTTCTTGAGGATTTATTAAATCGTGTGACTTTTAAATCAGATAAAAAGCCAAGTAAATGTAGTTGTCCATCAATTATAAGATGAGTTGAATTGGCTCATTAAACTTTGGATGTCATGTTTAAGAAATTAGCATTTTGGAATTCGGAAATCAGGTTTTTTTTGAGATCACACTGAAGCAAATTCGATGATATAGTCCAGTGAGAAACTTTAGTCGACACGTGTTTTGTGTACTGTAGTTTTCAGTGAATCAATGAACATAGAGCGGTATGTGTTCTATCTACCATGTACATTTTTCTGTTCAGAGGTTATCCAAAAATCCTTAATATTCATATTAAAAAAAAGAAAAAATTAATATTATAACATTCTATGACCGTGTTGAAGGTATATTGCTAGACAAGGTTATTTTTAATTAGAAAACTGGAAATAAATGCATATAAAACAATATCAAGGGTGCTGCATTGTTCCGAGTTCTTTGCTTCCACAACATTGCTTTTCAGCACACGTACGTGCGTACTGTACTGGTTAAAAATAAACTGCACAAAAACATACATATTTAAACTAGAAATTTCTTATATATTTAACATACTAACACTTACTAAAGAAAGACATACATTTCCAATAGTAAAAAAAACAAAAAAAAACAACCAGTAAATAAAATAGATTAACTGAAAATTATATTTTTGCGTAATTTTACGAGAGGAAATCCATGCATCGTGGRAGATATAAAAAGGACGTCCTATGTCCTCTTTTCGTTTCATTTTCCTCATTTCAGCTCTACCGGATAAAACGATGCTCACAGTGTAGTGTACCACGATTCGGCTGGTCACGAGTAAAGCGAAACCAAAGCAGAATGTACCGGCAATTGTTACACAATGTTTGATTTTACCGCCTCTGCTCAAAAGCCGTTCCTACATACTTTAGCGCTTTTGTCTCTGCTCTCCTCTATCGCTAAAAATCTTACTTTAAAAATTTACTTTAATTCTTTGTAGTTGTTTATTAAAATTGGCTCTAATCACCTAATTTACTATCTAGTAACGGA